GACTCGACAGACAGCTTATCCGACGAGAACAAATACCTTCACCGTGTTTTTACGAAGAACAACTACAACAACGACTTCATCCGACGAAACACTCACCGACCCACTACCACTACCGAAACAAACGACACCGCAACCCCTACGACTACAGCAACCATACCGTACATAAAAGGCATGTCTGAAAACATCTCGCGCATCTTACTACCCTTCAATATCCGCGTCGCCCACAAACCCATCACCACACTACGTCAGTTACTAACCAACGTTAAAGACAAAGACGAACCGAGGAACAGACAGGGAACGATTTATAAGATCAATTGTTCCGACTGCCAAGCCTCCTACATCGGTGAGACTGGCAGAAACCTCACAACAAGACTGACTGAACACAGACGGGCGACGAGGAAAGGTGATGTCAGCAATCACATTGCTGAACACCATCGACTTACCAACCACAACATTGACTGGGACTCTGCGCAATGCCTAACCTACAGCACTGACTATTTTCAACGACTGACTCTGGAAAGCTGGTTTACTAACTTAGAACAGACTCCCCTAAACAGATGTCAACAACTACCCGCTCCATACAAACGACTCATTCACGACATAAACATCACAAACGACCGAAAAAGAACGACCTAACTTTACCGACAGATCGAAACAGACCAATCACGACCGACTTACGTCACTTGAGTCTTACAGCCAATAACATCACGGCAAAACCAACCGATCATTTCACACGAACTGGAATAAGAACATTCTACTGACAACAATCATTCACTTGACTCTGATGATGACTTCCGCACAGGTTGTCGAAACGTCAGTCACTACCACCGACAACAGTCCTTCTCAGGACTACACTCACCCGGACGATCAGACTACACCTTCACATTCTTGCTTCTGCAGGATAGTACCCAGGTTCCCTTGACAACTCACTCAATATCATTCCTTAATAAATGGAGGTAACTTGTATCATAGACCACCACCAACCCCATACCATCCTCCTCCTTGTCCATGCAACACAATAAACTCAACTAGGGCTCAAAGCTGCACCAACTGACCCAGTCTAACTAGACAGAGCTGAATAATGAAATGCTACGTCAGCGGGTATGCGATCAACAACGCGAGCTCAAGTGTCCTAGGTCTAAAATTTAGCGGAAAATAATAAGGGCTGACCTTTAAAACCGAGGAACTCTGTTTTCGTCGAAGGCACTTTCTTATTTCCAAAGGTTTAAAGGAGAAAATTAATTTTTGATAATTTTTAGGGGGTGTACCAAATTTTTGGAGGTTGTTCTGTAAAAGAAAGGCGGCAAGGAAAACGACACCCCGAAGCAACAGAATAGGAAACCAAACATGCGAACGACTCAAAATCCGTGTTTCCGCGACAAAATCCAGCGCATGCGTATACGTTAATCAGCTCTGTCGTCTAACTATACTCTCCTCACCTTTTACTAAGCTGATCCTCCTCTCCTTGTGTTCTTTGTGAGTCTTGAGTTCTGAGTGATGATGTCCCAGGCTGTACAGCCTCCAACTGACTCATTATCTCCAGACCATTTTCTTCTGCAACTTGCTGAATCAGGGCCTCAACCTGATCAACAACACAAAATGTTAATACAAAATGTTAGTAGAAGCATTCAATACTGGGACTAGCAGATCAAACTTGGCTGATTCTTATTAAATCTTAACATCTACACATCAGTAGGCATAATCCCCAAGCTACTTTTTTTTTTACACATTCCTATGTTATTGACTGTGGGAATTTGTTAAATGATCAAGAGCTTCTTTAAATGACATCCATTCCCTTCATTTTCATGACAAAAATGTTTGATACTGCTGTGATGCTACACAAAGAAATTAGATGCAAGTTACACCTAAAGGTTAAGTGGTAACCACTTGGGGAGCTTATTAGGCTGAGAGTGTTAATGAAATCTCTTTTGACTTTTTTCGTGCCTCATCACTAGAATGTAATTTCACTGAGCTTTACAAGAACAAATTTGCCATAAAAATGCTTTGTCTCTCAAGTAAATAAGCAGCCTTGTACCTGGTCTTGAGGAGTAGACAATGTAGTTGCATCTCCCATTGCATTTTCTAAGACCTGAAAGGACAGCATCACATGTACAATACAGCTCGGAGGTACTTGGCCTACACACATGCAAAACCTTTGTATATTTTTCCCATTACACGCAAAAAAAAAGCACATTTCAGAGTGTGTGTATTAAGTGCATTTTTTCTCCCATTTTTCAATGAAGTCAGCTTGCTTTGTTCTGCATTGTTTTGGTGAACAACAGTCTCCTGTTTCAAACTGCTGCTGCTGAAGCATCAAATTAATATTAGCTTATCTCAATATTTAAAAGATGCAATGGCTGTTGTTTCAATGAAACATTGAAGCAACCTGCCATGATTCCACCAGCATTTTGTGAAATATGTTTGCAAAAGTTTTTAAGAGGTGAATAATAAACCCATACACTTATATTTTCTGCCTGATGTAAGATTCCAACCTGAAATTGTGATGTTAAATTACTGAAGATGTGACCTGATCAAGAAGTTGACTAAAATGACTGACACCCATACATCATGTTTACTTTCATTCAGCACTAAAACATATCATTCTATGTTTTTATTAAAAATAACATTGTTTCTTGTTATACAAACAAATATGTTTGTATTTCAGTCTAGGACTTCTATAAACTTTAAGATGAAATAGAAAAGGGGATGAAAAATAGGGAAAAATAGAACATTTCAACTCTACCTGAGTGTTAACATCAAGATCTTCAAACATGCCCTCAAACTTCTCCATGGTGGCTGAAATCTGTAAAATCGAAGACAGCAAATCAGAATTACTTCAAAAAGTTTTGTGCTCTTCAACAAATATATAACTAGACTTTAATGGCTATCATAATTACAGGTGGACCCAGTAGTTTGCATTGTAGGCCAGAAAAAAATATATTTCTAATTGATTATACAACTTGTAAAAAAATATCACCATAAGAAGTGAAGTATGCGAAAGATTAAACTTGTTAATAATTCCCAATTGGTTAGTTTTAAGGAGCATTGTAAACTTGCAAAAATAATCAGGATATTACGACCAGACAGCATCATAGTGTTTGACTGCTAACTGAACACAGTATAAAATGTAAACTCCATGGAAAGAGAAGAGTAAAAAGAGTTTTGAGAAAATTGAGGGAAATTGTGCAAAGCATGCAAAAGGAAGTAAACCATTTGCCTATGACTGGCATTTAATCACAACCATAATTCATATCTGTTTTCCAGTTTTCAAATATCTGATTATTTGAGGTGCAATTTAAATTGTGGCTTTCGTTTGCTCAACATTTCAGAGTTAACATAAGGAAGTAAAATTGCATTTGCTTAATTAATACAATGTACTATCATTATATTTCTTCATGAATTTTCTAAAACTATCCAATAGGAGACCCATACAGGAATTTTTCTGAAGTATTAATAAAAAGTGCAACTTGGATGAAAAACCCAGTGACTATAGAGATGTTTTCACCACAAAAAATGTCAAAAATGCACCTTTTCTAGGTCCATGGATGCCATGGCTTTATCTAACCCCTTAACCACACCATCCATGCTCTTAGTAACCTGAAAAAAAATTGCAGGTTAGGACCATAACATGCAATTTGTTGCTTGGTGAATATTCTTGTTGGCTTTTTTTCAGTACAGCTCTCTGCAAATAGCTTGCAGGAAGTGATTTCTCCTTCCAAGGCAACACAATATAGTTTCATGAATGCTGATCAATTCAAAACAAATACAACAAAATAAATAAAATAAAAAAAGGAACTCCAAGAGACTGTATTTTTACCAACAATGCTGGTTTTATATTGAGTTCCATTTGAGTGATTAAAGCAAGTGATCAATATTTTATTTTGAAAAGATATCATAGAAATTTGTAGAAAAGCGTGTAACAGTTTTTCTTTTGATCAGATACAATTTATTCCTAATTTTTCCACTTGTTATTAAATAGGAAATGCTTAGCTTGGTAAGGCAATAAGCACATAAATGCTCAAATATAACCACGCCCTTTCACTTGGTATACAGACTCTTTTTGCACTTAGGCTCCCTTGATCAATTTTTCTCTTTTCTTTTCTTTTCTTTCATTAATGTCTGACTGACTAACCCACTTTCAAACAGGCTGTTATGCAGACAAGAGACAAGGAATCAGTTAAAAAATAGTAACATGTACCTGTTTCATCATCATGGCACTTTGAACTTTTGATGACACTGCATCTACACGAGAAGCTAGTCTTAGATAATTCAATCCTTCATTTTTCTTTCTGATTGCGTTTTCTGCATAAATCTTTGCTCCTTCAATGTTTTTTTGTTGTAAAGCCTACAAGATGAAAGAAAAGAGATACATGTCTATGATTATTCAGATATGGTTACCATTTGGTAAATAAGTGTACTCATTAGCAATTGATTGAATAAAAACAGCTAAGGTGTGTGTGTCTTAAGCAATATGTGATGGTTACCTCTCATTTTTTCCACACCTAGAACATACATTCATTTGCTGTTACATGAATGACCTCAGCATTATTTGCTATGATAATCATAGATGGTAGGGTAGAACTCATGTTTTAGTACTCAATGGATGGTAGATAATACTTTGAGGGAAGGATGGGGAAAGTTGTAACAAACCATCCCATCCTGGTAGAGTTGATGTGCATTTTGTCTAGTTAACTGTTTTTGTTACTGTTATTATTTAATGAAAATGTGTAACCAATGGCTAGTTCTCTAATTCTTAAAGTTTTGATTAATTGGTAAAACAACTTTGTTTCATGTATTTGTCAGTGATCATACTTGTGATTAAAAAACCAGACGCCTAATGGCGTTGCGCGCTTGTGACGTCACTAAATTTTGACCCCCTAGAGCGATCAGGACAAACAAACAAGCTTCTTGAGTAAAGGAATATGGGCGATGATGCACCCAACTCTAGTTCAAATGTCTCGAAGGCTCGTGTTTTAAGTCAAAACGACGGTGTTCCTGGCTCAAAGTTTGAGCAAGACCCTGAGAACTATACAAACACACAATTGAAGCATTGGTTAAAGTGTAGAGGCTTGACATTAAGCAGAAAACGAGCAGACCTCATCGCACATGTTTGTGACTGCCTCAAGTCGGGAAAACATTATGTACTTGATTCAAGTATAGATGATGGGAAATGGCTTCAGGCGAAGATACTAAAAAAAAGTAAAAAGTCGATCACATGAAACTTAAGGATCTAATAGTTCAATGTAAAAAGGGAGTTGACAGGCCGGCATGACTCCCCAGCGCGTGTTTAGAATAGCCTATTCAGAGTTTGGCCCTCACAAGTATGCCTTTGAGCGATCGCCCTCTTTTGTAAGATATGAGTGGCGGATTTTTGTATAGTTCGCTCAGTACTGGTTGTGTTTCTATTAAATGTCAGTGTGTCATGAGAATTTGCTTTAGGTTTGGCACTGATGGTTGGAACTGTGTAATAAAAGGCAAGATTTGTCGGTCTGTCTTCGGTCTCTGTTGAAGAGCTAGTTTCCTGTTTTTGAAATTCACCTCTGAGAGGGTTGTGTTAATAAGAACCTCTGGATAGCCTCTCTTTCGGAAATGCGCTTTGAAATTTGCAATTTTCTCCTCAAATGTTATTTGAGAGGAGTTTGTTCTGAGAAGTCTAAGGGCCTCTCCTTTTATTAAGCCTTTCTTAACTCCTTGTGGGTGACAGGAACTATAGTGTGTATACTGAAATGTCTCAGTTTGTTTAAAATGAGTACGGCACATCAAGGATTGCGTCCTTTTCGAATCGTTTGCCTTAGAAGATGTAGGTGTCCAGGAATTTTGTTTCCTTATCAGAAATTTCAGCCGTAAATTTTATTGTTGGATGATGATTGTTTGCTTTTTCAATGAAACTTTCTATGGTTGCTTTGTTTGTACACCATAGCGAGAAGATGTCGTCTATGTAACGTTTCCAAACAAGCGGTTTGAAAAGGCTTTTGTCAAGGATTTCAGTGTACAGCACAAATATAAGTATTGTAGTTAACACTATCAACTGAGAAATTCTTTCTAGAACACGCTTTTACCCGGCTTTGACAAAGTTCCAAGTCATGCTTCAGCTTTGGGAACTGTATGAAAGCTTTCTGACCGTATTTAAGCATTTCTTTAAGCGAATCTGGCAATCTTTCTGGATATCTTGAGTCATTTTTACATGTACCCCAACAGCAATGCCTAGTTGCAACCATTTTAGAAAATTAGAGCATTTTTTGAGCGAAAATAGCCTTGCTTCTGAGACATTTCGCATACAGTTCCTTGTAAAGACTCCGAGTGTTTGTCCTAAACCAGCGGGGGTCCAAAGATGACATATCTATTTTTAGACCTGGAGCACAGCGCCATTAGCAGTCATCTCATTTTGTTAATCACTTGTATGATGCTACCTTACTATAACATCAAGAAAATGGTTAGATATTCTAGTCTTCTCGGATAGGGATAGGGATTTTTTTTAATTTATTTTTTTTTATTTAGGGAATATCAAAGTTAGTATGTTCATATATTTTTCTTTTTATTATTGTACTGAAAAGACCTTTTAGGGAGTTGCAATAAAATGTATGTACGTATGTATGTCAGGACAAATAAATGGAGGTCCCATCTCCTGCAGGGTTAGGGGTAGGAGATGTTAATTTCCCACACACGAGATTACTGTGTGATGGATGTCCTCCCCTGGGGTGGGATGGGTGGGTTGGGGTTGGTTTAGGTGGATGAACCTAGTAGGGGACTACGTGTCCTATTGTTCTCTCGCCTGTACACTGTACGAATCTTTAAATACAAATACAAATACAAATATAAAAGGAATTGGACTCAACTCAGTCCTATTACCATAACTACCTAAATATTTTTCTGATCAAGGGCAGAACAAGGACCTAATGTTGGATTATAGCATCACATTGTCAATGAAATTGTTTCATTAAATTAATAACATATCAACTATACCTTGAGAACACTGGTAAAAGTGAACAATAGCTCCCATGTTCAGCTGTTGGTAACCTGTCGGCCAACTGTCGGCCGACATGATACTGACGGCCAACAGTCAGCTGACAGATGGTCGACAGTATCTTTTGGGAACTGTTCCTCACTTTTACCAGAACACTATACTGACGTTGGTAAAACTTAAGGTAAAATGTACTTTAATAACCTACGTACTTGATATTACGATTCAACATCTTCCTTTGGTACAGATAATTCGTTAGGATGAGGCAGAGGATTTAAAAGTCAAACTGTACTGTACCTTGATATCATTTAAACCGGAGATTCGTTTACCTCACAATTGCAACACATGTACAAAATACCTTTTTCACTTTAGCTTGTTGCGCTTTTTCCTCCTTCTCGCATTTCTTTGAGGATCTTTCCAACTGTTTGCTTGTGAACTTCCGAAGAAACATAGACGAGCGTTTACACCTCAAGTGTTACTGGTTAGCGGTTAAATAGTCAGTAATCTTGTAAAATAAGCCTACAGATTAATGCAACCTACTGGCTTACCTTCAATTGGAACAGGGTGTCTACAAAGCAATCGAAAAAAACACCAATCAGTCTAAAGTAGATGAATACTTTTCTTGAAAAATAGGCATGCATTTACTACCTTCTATTGACGGCATCTTGAAAGCTTTCCGATGATTTTCACCAAGTACAAATGACGGTTACATAAAAAAATATTGTCAAGTCTACAACATTTGGTCCACCATTACGGAAATACCAAAAATAAACTAGACCCAGTCTTTGCTGCAAATAAATGACGTATAAGTATTTACCTTTTTAGGCAATGCTGTCTAAATAAGGCCAGCAACACCTTGATTTTCTGGCTGGGTTCCCCCGCTGCCCAGTTTCTAGTGAAACTCGTGTTTCGCCATTTTGTTAAGTAATAGTGAACTCTCTGTGAATTTTTCAAAATCAGATCTGTGTGTTTGACGAAGAAATCCGGTAAGTAGTGAGATAATTAACAGGCACTCTTTGATATGTATCGCAGTAGGTTAGTTTTGCCTTAGAGAAAAATTTTATGGTGTTATAGGCGATTTAACTGCACGCTGCCAAACCATTGAAGACCTAATTGTTTTTTCGCGTGTTCTTTAGTGAGTTACTGTTCGGTTAGGAAAAGTTTCAATCCATAAAGAAGAAAAAAAATTCTGGTGAAAATGGTATTCGCATCCACTATGTTTACTTTTTACTTTTCGTGGCGTTTGAAAATTTTTTTGACGATCCTTTCTCACCGTGATCAATCACTTTCTATATTGTGCGATCGAAATTTTTTCCTTTGAACCAGTTCAACTGCGTGTAAGCACCGAAAATGTGTCAAATTCCTAGTGTCTGCGAATTACATTATGATTTTAACCACCAAATGAAACTTGAGTTTTGAAGTGACAACGTGGTAGGGTAAGGAGTGACTGTAGCATTTGGGAAGTTCATAGGACTTTGGAACAACTATTCTCAGAATATCCCGCCTGCATATATGAAATGGACACACAAGAGTGCAATTGTAACTGTAGATGAAGCGATTGAGTCAACCATTTCTCCTACAATTGATGTTCAACACTGATTGCCAATACCTGGCCAGTCAGGAACATGTATCATGCCTCTTGCACAATGCCTCATGGAGCCCCTCAAAAACAAACTTATGGCAACATTATGGCTCTCGCCATTATATTTAGTTATACTAGTTCATGCAAGTGGTCTTAAGGCCACCGTACATTGATTGACAAAAACAACTGGGAAGTGTGTCTGCATGAATTGGTGGCAAAAATTGCTTTTGATTTTCCCATACATTTGTCACAACTGGAAAATGAAATTACCTAGTGTGTGGCCTTTGCTGGAGAGCAAGGCTTTGAAATGAAAAAATGGAGTCAACTAAATTGAAAGTTGTGTGGAGGCCTATTTTAGTGAATCTTCACTCAGATTCCATCAGCATAAAGTGGTGCAAAGAAATCTTTGCCTTGTATTTCTGCATACTCTCCTTGTTCCATTCATAACTGTGTATACTCCCTTTGTACTTTTTTAGGCAGTTCATCTTGAGCAACAACCATGGCTGATGACTTTGATGTAGAAGCAATGCTTGAAGCACCGTACAGAAAAGAGGTGAGTTGGCACAGCGTGCCCAGTGAAATAGAAATTTTGTAAAATTACTTTGTACACCACTGGGTTAGCTTAGCTAATGCTTTTCCCTTATGGTTTTTAATAAGGGTTGAAGCAAATCGTAATGGAAAAGTTAACAGCATGTTGTTTCTGAGGGCATTTCAAACCCATTTCATAGTTGCTATTAGTGATGAGATATGAACAACTTGATGATTAAGATTTTAAGTGTCTTATAATTTTCTGTCATATTGGATAAAAGTAAAAGAAAGTATAACTTGGATTGAAAATCTGTATTCTGTTCAGAACTCTTTAATGTCAAATTTGTAGGATATGACTTTGTTTAATTAACTTTTCTTTCCCAAAAGTTTATCAAGATTTTGGATTGTGGCAGTCAGTAGATCTTTGATCAAGCTCCTTTTCTTGTCCAGTCTTCTGACCCCAGTATCTTATTTTCTGTTTTGTAGAGTTGAAATTACAGCACAACCAGCCCTATTACAGACCACCTCGACTGACACAATTGTTGTATCTGACCCATGCTATACTGGGCTAACTTCTTGTGTCATTTTTGTTCTGATTTTATTGAAAAGAAAAATCTTCATTCTCCTATTTGAATTAAATTTTTTACCCATAAGAAGGCTGCTTTTAAAAAAATTTACACACTCTGTACATTTTTCTGATTAGACTGAGTGCCTTCTTCCTAGCTTTTGAGATGATCTGTTGAGGTGGGTATGTGGTGCTCAGATTCTTTTAGCATTCACATTCACTGCAATGTTGTCATCATTCCATCAGTTACAGTGACAGCAATAGTACCATTAAAGAGTTTAAGAAGGTGTGATATAATTGTGACATTGCTAGGCAAATGACTTTGTTTCTGATAACCCAAGGTCTCCCCAGGGGCAGACTTGTGTAAAATTTGTGGTTCATGGCAAGATTATCTTGGACATCATAAACCAGGATAATATACTGGATGTATGTTTGGTGTTTCTTTTTATCAAGAGAGATTGTTTACTTCTTTCAGACTCCTCCTTCTCAAGCAAATGGAAAGGGTGACTCGAATAGGACGGGTAGTGATGGTGAAGAGAGAAGAAAAAGGTAAGATTACCAGGGCTCTACCATGTTTATTCCTTACTCAGAGTCTTGTCTCTAAAATAAAGGCCATTGCATTTGCTCATCCAGATGATCTTAAGAAACATATGCCAAAACACTATTAGGGTTTAATTCGGTTAATGTAATTCTATATGCGGTTGAAGGGTTGCAAAGGGCTATAAAGGATTCCAAGTCAATTTTTCAGACCACTCGATCAGTGCCCAAGGCGAACATATGTATACACATAACAAGCTTCTTCAGTTTTGCAGCACCTCGTGTCAACCAAGCAATGTGAAATCTGAGCGAATATTTCTGTTTTCGCCCTAGGTAGAAATTTTAGGTTATGCAAGGCATAATTACAGCGGATGATCACTGGACTACAAGATGTCTGGTTTTTGATGTTAACAGGTTGAAGTAAAGGGCCATTCAGGGGAGGGTTGGAGTGTACTCTTTTTAGATTTCAGCCTAAATTTGTAATCAGGCAGAAGTTAAAAATGCTGGACCACTAGTCAGAAGAACCATGCTCTGAAAGCATGATTCAATTTCACACTTGTGTATGATTGCTAAATTATTACTACTGTGGAAAGGCACACAGCAGAGATGCCTTTATGCTCAGGAGATGTTTGATCATCTGATACAGATAAAACAGCAAAATGTAAAATGATATTTTTATTTATTTACAGTACATATTTCTGGATTGTAGCAAACTATTGTGTGGATGAAATTGAAGTTACACTGAATGCTAGTTGACTTACTGCTGTCAATAGCTTGGTTGACATTTAAAGAGAATACCTAATAGAATTTTCTAAAAGCCAAAAGTTAATCTTTTGTTTCATAGGTTTGAATTAAATCCACCATAGGGTTTGCTAATTAAGTTGTAATAGCAACAGTCGCGATCATTCCTTGGTTCCTAATACATGTTATTGTATAGAGCTGCATCAAGCTTAGACATTTGGGAATGCTCAAATTTTAGCACTTTTGTTGAATGAGCTATGTTTGCCTCATCTCCTTAGGTAAAAATTTTTTTCTACAGTGAAGCTTCAGATGTGCCATAACATGTTTTCTCTCATTTTAAACAGTTGTTTGCATCTGAACATGATCCACTAAGAGCAAATAAAGGTATTGTATCTACAACGTCAGTGTTACGCTGCAAAAAATCCTGGCCATGAAAAGGGAAGAGCACCTCAATGATAACCTTTACTGCCTAATTGTTACCAGGCTTGCATAGGAGGGAAAAATGTTTTAAAAAATGCCACAGAAAGTATAAGATTTCCCAAGGGGTGTGGCTTAAAAGCCCATATATGTCTAAAAATAATGAGAAAACTTTTCTGACCTTTTATTTTGGTACTTTTGTCAACAGAAGTCATCGAAATCGGAGTCGCAGTAGAAGTGCCGGAAGGTAACACAGCTGTTCTCTGTCTGGAATTTTGCAATGTGATTGTTCTTCTGTGATGAACTTTTGTGAGAGTTGTTATTAATTGGTAGGTTTGTTAATTTCAGGAGTCGGAGACGCCGCAGCCGCAGCAAAAGCCAGGAAAAGTAAGATCTGTTTTATTTAGTAGAACTCTCTTGGTGTTCCCTTCTAGTCCAGTGCTTTTAATTTAGGGAATTTTATGAAACTGACTGCATTGTCTAGTAGTCTTGGCAAGATTTGATGATGGCTTTTCAAACAGGCTCACATCAACTCATCTGGCCCTACACATGTCATCTTTCACTTATGGTTTTCCCTTTGATTGTATACGAAGGGCCATATGGGTCATTAGATTTTTTCCATGATCATTGTTATTATTATTCAAGGGGAAGTTTCTCAATTTGATGTTAAAGCTGTGGTTGCTTTTGTGTGTTTTAGAACAAGGAGAGGTCGGAGTCGCTCAAGAGATCGTGACAGGTACAGATCTGCTCTTACATTTTTTTTTTCTTTTTTCTTTTTAACTTCTATGTTTCTGCTAATGTTGGTCAACTGTTTAACTCCCAAATTTACCAGATCCTTTTAACTTCCATTCTTTGTCAACAATGACCTTTTCTCCTTTTGTTTTAGAAGACGTAGGCGTCAAAGCAGTAGTGGGAGTAGAAGCCGGTCAAGAAGCCCAGACAGAAGGCGCAAAAGGTAAAGCTCAGTAAAATAACATGTGGAATAAATATCTTTATCAAGACATGAAGCTGTTCCATGAATAGTCTTCTTATTCTGCATAAAACAAAAGGTTCTGAGCCATTTTTTAAAATCAGTTTCTGTAACTGGTCAAAGAATCTGTTTTTGTCGGTAATGCTCTGTAGTGACCTTTTTGAGAGGGAGTGAAGGGGATTAAATGTCATGATGTAAGGTGTGAAATTGTGTATAAAGCTTGTCCTTCACTCTTGCATTCTAGCCATGACCAGAGAGAAAAACGTGATAGAAGAAGGAGTGTCAGTCGTAGTCCAAGTCCATCAAGTCGCAGGAAGAGTGATGAAGCAGATGGAGGCAATAGTGGTACTATTGTACAGCGTCTTGAAAGGTATCATGATGTCCTTTAAAATCTCCATTACTTTTATTTCATGTTTGTTAAAAATCATAAAACTCGAGAAGAAATGATTTGCTTTCTTCTTTTTTCATGTTTGTGAAGAATCACAAAACTTGAGAAGAAATTATTGGCTTTCTTCTTTTTTCATGTTTGTTAAAAGTCACAAAACTCAAGAAGGAAAGATTGGCTTTCCTCTTTCAGTGACCATGACTTCACAGAGATAGTTTTGTTTCAGTTACCAATTCCTAAGAGGTGAAACTGAAGCTCAGCAGTATTATGACTTTTCTTTTAGGAGGGAGCTAAAGCCTGCAGAGGATATAACACCAGAGGAGAGGGATGCTAGAACAGCATTCTGCATGCAGCTGGCAAGAAACATCAGACCAAGAGATCTTGAAGAATTTTTTTCAAAAGTGGGCCAGGTAAGCTGTGAGAGAAAGGGCTGCTTGTGTTCAACAGGTCTTTTACATATATGTTGCATTGCATTCCACTCTCTCCTGTCGTTGAGGTTACTGATCCTGTAGGTACTGTATTTTTTTCTTCTTCTTCTTCTTCTTTTAGGTTGCTGATGTGCGGATTATATCAGATCGTAATTCAAGACGGTCAAAAGGAATTGCTTATGTGGAGTTCACGGACAGATCTGCTGTGCCCTTGGTGAGTTTTTGTGTTTAATAAACGTCTATTCACAGAAGGGGTGTAAAGTGCAGTGATGTTGCTGAAGTTGGCTTCAAAACAATACCAACTTGATTTAATATTCGTCAATGTTTAAGGCATCAAATTCCAAGTAGATGACCCCTTTGTCTCCTTTTATTTTTCTTTTGTCTTGTACATCTTTGAAGTGCTGATACTGAGTCTGATGTGTGCTTGAACTTTTCATATTTGTAGGCAATAAACTTGTCTGGTCAGAAACTCCTGGGTGCCCCAATCATGGTGATGCCTACTCAAGCAGAGAAAAACAGAGCAGCAGCAGAGGCCGAAAAGCTCAAGGCTCCACCAGGACCAACAAGACTATATGTTGGATCTCTTCACTTTAACATCACAGAGCAAATGATCAAGGCAATTTTTGAACCCTTTGGAATTGTTGATAGTGTACAGCTTATTTATGACTCTGAAACAGGAAGGTCGAAAGGCTATGGCTTCTTACAGTTCAGAGATGCTGATGCTGCAAGGCAAGCTATGGATCAGATGAATGGTTTTGAACTTGCTGGAAGGCCCATGAAGGTTGGGCCTGTAACAGAGCGAGGAGACTCCTCTTCTTATTCCTTCCTGGATGACGAGGAGTATGAAAAGGGCGGTGTTGAATTGAACTCAACTGCAAGGGCTGCTCTCATGGCCAAATTATCTCAGGGTCATTCTGCTGGTAAGTGCTCCTTTAGATAGAAATCTAAAAGATTCTCTTCCTGTATTACACCGCCACCATTCTGAGATCTCATTGAATGAAATGTTCTCTAAATGGCTACCTGTTTTACAATAAGTGGAATTTTTATTGTTGTTGGGGTTCTTTGTTCCCAGGAATGAATTTGCTCACAATTAAATGAAGTAAGTAATATTGGCGAATGAATCCTTCAAAATTTAACTTCCAACATGTGGCTTTTTATCTCTGTTGATATCGGTCAGATTGTAGGTTAACATTAATTGATTTACTTTTCCCTCCTAAGGTCTTCAAGTGCCAGGTGTTTCCCCTGCTGTGGTTGGTGTACAACAAGCTATGACAGCACCAGTTGCCATCCCCCTGCCGACACCCTGTATCATGCTGCTGAACATGTTTGACCCTACCAAGTAAGTAGCTGTTGCCCTCTTAAACTTTTGGTGTGACTGTGTCATACCCTTATTGTACATGTATATGCATGTATTGCAGGAGAGAAAGCTCCTAGATGTTATGTTAGAGAGGGATAGTAGTTTGCATTGTGCAGCCTTTGCAAGGTCTGAGTTTTTATTCTGCACTGAAAAACATTGTTTTTATTATTATTATTATTATTATTATTGTTATTATTATTATTATTATTATTATTATTATTATGTCGCAGAGAAATCAACTGAATGCTACATTCTAATCAGGCAGCACAGGGCGAAAACCGTAACCTGTGAGCCATGGAGTAAAAAATAAATGTACATTAACTAGTCCTAAAATGCTTTTCTGTTGAGTCTACGGTCCTCCTTCTAACAGGAACTCAAACTGCCACCTTGAAAGTCGGGGCAATATTCAGCGTGCCCGAGAGCACTGCCCTCTGCATCTTTAGCAGTACGTCTGCTCTTCTGCCTCCCACCAGCTCGCGCATCATGACATCCAGCTCCCGTGACCACCCCCCGAGGGCATCCATAATGATGTTATATTGCTTCACCTCGTAGCCTGGGAACTGCTGCCTTAGTTCCCAGCGAAGGGGTCCGTACTTCAGTGTCTTCTCTTCATCCTTTCTTGTCCGATTGTTAACCCACGGGCAGCTCATTTTACAATGCGTGCATCCACCCTAATGCATCTGACCTCTTGTTGATCAGCAGATATAGGGACATCCCAATAAGCTTTAACATTCTCTGACTCATACACGTGCTTCGGCATGTCGGGTGAGTACCAGGGTGGTATCTCGTCTATAAATCCCTCATCATACAACAGTTCGTAAAACAGTACCTTCAGTGCTACGTCGTGTCTAGAGAGATACTTGCTCTGGGCCAGCGCACTGCATCTTGACAAGATATGTGCCACACTCTCTGGAGCCTTGCTTCATAATCTGCACCTCACCTCGCCTTCCCAGCTTGTGTGGGTCTTCTGACTCGTGTATACTTGCGTTGGCAATAGCTGCTCGTATAGCTCGACAAGTCCAGCAATTGTGTGTGATGGACAGTTCTTCCAGTCTGTGACCCACCAGAAACACCCATCGGCACTCAAACTCTCATCCTCCAGCCTAGTAGTCACTAGACGCCCTTGCCATCGTTGTTTTCTGATCTCATTCTTTAACTTCTCAATTTGGCACCTCAGCACCTCTTTCTTGATCCCTTGCGCGTGTTCCAAATCCAACTCCAGCCCCAACTCTTCCCCGCACTTAGACGCTTCTTTAAAAATTGACCTACGCCCCATCGTTGCTGCTTGCTCTTCAAACTCCCGTACCATTCTCAGTGCACGATCTTCATTACCATGGAGTCTGACTGCACCCTTGATTTTTGCGGCTTTGTACTCCATTTCAACAGAGCGCAATCCCCGCCCTCTTCTACTTCTTGGCATATACAACAATGCATTCGAACTACATGGGTGTCTATCCCCACTCTCGACAACAATCTTGCGCTCTTCCCTATCGATCTGCTTAAGTTCCATCACCGGCCACTGTTGTGTCCACATAAGATATCCAAGAACAGGCAATACAAACTCATTTGAAGCTACCACCCGATTATAATCGGACACGGGACTTGTCCAAATAACTGACAATCGTCTGAGATACTCTCTTGCTGCACATTCCAGGATCAACTTATCCTCTCGCCTAACACTCTCAAGTACTCCAAGGAACTTGTACCGCTCACCATCATCAAGACATGGTATTTTAGTCGACTCCACAACTCTCCCCCCTGAGACAGCAGTCACTTGTACCCCCCTTTTCACATGGGCCACCGCACACTTATTAGTATTATTATTATTATTATTATTATAATTATTATTATTTCAACAGAGAGAAAGATCCTGATTGGGATGCTGACATTCAAGATGATGTACTGGAAGAATGCACAAAGTATGGTCACGTGTATCACATTCATGTAGACAAGACCTCTACCCAGGTTTGTGTAAAGCAAATTATTTGTGGATTTAGATAAGCTGTGCATGGACTAATACCCCATTCAGACCTAGCGAAGCATGTTTTGTTAAACTGGTTTTTACTGTATGAAAATAATTAACAGAGAACTGAAAAACTGACTTTTCCATGAGATTCAAGTAATTGCAACTTGTGTTTCTCATGCGCTACATTTGAAGTCAACAAATATCTGTTTAAGCAGCTTCTATGAGGAAAAAAAGGTTAAACTGTTTTAACAAAATATGACTAGCTTTGGTGTGAATGGGGTAAGACTCAAGTCAATTCTTTATCGCAAGAGCAAGGTTTTGTTATGTAAAGTTTGTTGTTCTTCAGAAGTTTAAAATTTGAAAAGTGTTCAAGAACTTCCTTGCCATTTCCAAGTGATCCAAGCCAAGCAAGGGTCTTGAATTATTAGCAGTACCCTTGTGCTTAATTTTGCTTTTATTTTTCAGGGAGTAGTGTATGTGAAATGTAGTAATGCGGAAGTTGCCGCCAGCGCTTCAAAAGCCCTTCACGGCAGATGGTTTGCTGGTAAGTGATACTTAAAGCTTATTGTGATGGTGAGGCCAGTACTTGCTCTCTAAGATAAAAACCACTACAGTGGATTCGAGTGCAAAACTTTTGCAACTAGCGTCATACCAGCAAAAATATAGTTGCGTACTAGGACTGCTACTGGTTATGTAAGAAGTAGTGTATATAATCAACAAGCTTGCACGTCGGCATAAAGGCTCTTATATCCATGTACACGAAGAGGGTGTCTGTCCATTCGTTAGTTATCAACCTAGCAATTCCCTCTAGTGTCTATTGGACTTTCGCGCTTCAGCATCTTCGTGTAGAGGTTTAACAGTGGAAAAAGGGAAACTAAACGAAAACTTGCTCTTCATCAACTTGTTAACTCGGATAAGAGTGTTAATAATTTGGATATATCAACAAAGTTGAAGTGGTAAATTGGCTACGGTAACGATTACAAAAGCTGACGTTTCGAGCGTTAGCCCTTCGTTGGAGCGAATAGAAGAATTGTGGTTTGTGTGCTTTTAAAGGCAGAGAATGGAGCTACGTTAGTGGTGGGAACATGGCAATGTTCGCTCCGACGAAGGGCTAACGCTCTAAACGTCAGCTTTTGTAATCGTTACGGTGGCCAATTTACCACTTCAACGTTGTTGATATATCCAAATTATTTCGTTACTCCCACCGACGCAGCCCCAAACAGTTTCTTTCGAAACTATCAGCCTTTATTTAAGTGTGTTAATGGTTTTTGTCCAGGAGGTACTGCTATTCCACCGAAAACTGTGAGAAGGTATTCTGATGACAGATTTTTACTGCCTCAACTAAAAAAGATTTGGTTGGAAAGCTTGCATCTCTTAGAAAACTACCTTTATCATTTATCATCACTCAAAGTGGTCACGCAAGCAATTAAACTGGTACACATTCAACTAAATCAGTCCAGCCCCTGACGCCAAACCCTCGATAGTTTTCATCCTCTAATACTGATATTCTTTCTGTTTATCATTGATAGGGAAGCAAATTATTGCAAGAGCAGTCCCTCTCGCAAACTACCACGGCATGTTTCCTCAGGCCTTGTCGATGGTGAAGCCGTTGCAACCATCTACGTTTTGATAACGACTACCATTCTTTTCCACTAAACGTCTTGATGTTAGTGTTTGACGAATCAGACGCGCAAGTTCTATTAAATTGTTAACGCGTCATTATTTGTAAATAAGTCCGTGAAACGATAAAGGAAATTGCTGTTGGTTTCCCACAAGTTTGTCAGCGTTCCATCAGAAAGATAGTATACCTTTTAAATCGAAGCTATCTAAAGCAAGTGAGGATAAGGTTTTGTCAAGTTTTAAGGTTCTTCCGTAACACGTCCGTCACCCCAAATTCCCTCCCATTTTCTGTGCGAATACCTGTCTTTCACTCTTCGTTAGTTTCGCCAAGAATCTGCTTAAACTGTTACTTTTCTTTTGCTTCCGTCAACTATGCTGTAAACGTATATTAAAAAAAAGGTGAAGATGAAATAAAATATAGTCAAAAAAGTAGTTTGTTGTTATTTTTCAAGGCTAAAGATTCGACAGAACACCCTCAACCTATTCGCAATGAAAAAAAGGCACACGAAATTTACCCATAAGAGACTAAAACCCATAATGAGACATTCAATAGTCCAAATTGTGCGAACTGACACAGTCTGAGACGAGTGGAACTCATTTCCCCTCCCTGTCCGTCCGCCCCATGTCGGATCGGTGTATTGTGGCCTGTGTGGGAACGCTCCACTCAAAATATCTGAATCTAAAACCAGAGTTATTATTAAACGAGACATTCAGTGTAATAACGATAATACTGTGTCTTTGTTGTTCAAAAGATAAAATTACATATCTTATGTTACATTAAAAAAGGATGTAAATAAGCTTAGGGTGTATCTCTAAATAAGATAAGTACATACGTAGAAACAAATACGAAAATCGAATACAAGAAGTACGCTTTCACAAAGCTACATTGTACTTGATAAACAATTCTATTAAAAAATGTGTGCTTAAAACGGTTCGTGCGAATGGCGGGCATTACAGGGGATTTACTTCTTAACTTATATCTGGTAATCTTGGTTTCAGGGAAGTAGGCTCTAAGAGGGTGGCTAAGGATAGTAGAGACCTTGTTACAAATTTTGTGATCTATCACAAAAGTCACTATCAGTAATTTCTTAGATATGTAACTACGTTTAAAACAACGATCTAAAAACTGCTGGGCTATAGTTAGCTCAGACTCAGAGGCCCCATACACAGATAGAGCATTAGTAATATTAGGTAGGACAATGGAATTAAATAAAACATCGACTTCTGCTTGGCTACATCCTTCTTTGCGGAGGCATCTGATAACGTGTAAACATTTATTAGCTTTACCTAACTTTTCTTTTAGGTGAGTACTGAATTTGCAGTACGGCTGAAACGTGAGGCCTAGAATGGTTAATGTACTAGTCTGAGGTATGCCAAAAATACTTTTGTAGGCCTCAGCGGTGTGACCTTTTTTAAACGTAATTAGCTCTTTACATCTAGTAGAATTTGAAGTCATTCTATTTTGGCCTGCCCACTGTAAAAACTGACTTGTTAAGTCTACAGAGTGATCTATATCATAATATACCGGAGCAATAATCGTACAGTCATCAGCGTAAAACATATTCTTAGCTTCTACAGAAACACTCATCAGTCATTGCAGGTAGGGCATGTATATCTAAGTAAAATTTTTTACGGGTGACTCGAGTAACTTGCCATGCCACAAATATATAACCGAACGTTTTGGGTCGGTAGCGAGAAATTAGACACGTAAATTAGCACAATTGGAACTTACATTGTTAACCGTTACTACAAACTGCTGTTTGACTGTTTCATCACCTTCTAAAATGTCTAAATAACTTCGAAATCGTCTCCCCAGAGATCGTCTACTCTATCCGCCATCTTGTTTTGAATGTGTGCACCTTCGCGATCACGTGACTTGTACCTTCAACCTCAAAGAGCTCCTATTGATCTTATCGTCTGAAGTTCGCCGGCTTTCATAATCAGTTCCCTCTATTAACTCTGCTAAAACCTAGGATTGAATGGCTAATATACCGAGAGAATACGACGGAAAGCTGACAACTCGAGGGGGTTAACTCTGAGGACTTGCTGAGAATATACAATCCTCATAGCTGACTGCTGCTGAAATCGGAAATGTACATGGGCAGTTGTGGGCCGCGTGGAATCTTAAAATTTCACCTTCGTACGAAAATAAACTTCTGCGGCGGGAAGATTGGTAAGATATGTAGTCGAGAAATTCGCCTCTTCGCAACTACTCCGTCAACAACACAGTTAAATATTCAGCCTGTATAATTCCCGTTCCAGCCTTTCATTGCCTCGGGTGAGTAAAAGCTTTATCCTTGCTTGGGTGTAAATTGAGGGAACTTAGTGGTTTAATGAGCACTTATTGACGCCGATTGACAGGCCTGCCTTTTTTCCCCCCTCTTAATTTTACCAGGAGGTGCCATCTCTTCCTCAAATTTTATTACCGGTAATACTGGCAAGCCAAATCACTTGAGCGGATTTCCTGTGTCATTAATGTAAAACACCGTAGACATTTTACGGACACCTTGCCTGTGATCATTTTTTTTTCTTTTTTTTCTTTTTCGTTTTTGCTTGTACATACACAAGCCTTTTGAGTGCACACTGTGTGTCAGACTGAGAAAAAAAAATAAAATTATTGTGAAATAAATATACTTATTGGAAATAACACACTGTGAATTTCAGTTAACGTTGTGTATAAAATGAAAGAGATATGTCTAAATTATCAACACCAAGTATTAAAGCTCAACATAGGTGGGTGGAAAAAAAAACTTTAATGGGGTCACCCTTCCTCGTAAAACGTGCGCCAGCTGTTGTGAAAACTTTAACAACTTCAATCCTCTTTGTGCCTTTGGGCGCACTGAACAGTCAAATTATTGTCTTTCTTCGACGAACGTAAAGCTAGTAGAATGCGAAATCCAGCTTTATTTTCTATTATGCCTAATAGAAATACACAATTGAAGTCATGTGGAAACATATAGTAGAAAAGGAGGAAATTGCCACGGGGCGTGATCAGTGGGTAGATATATCCACCGAGAAATGTTTTGGAAAAATGTCACAGAAATTTATCTTTGTACTCAAAAATTACCTTTTGTTGGCGAGATGGCCCCTTTTTTTCCTGATTGCCCCGAGCGTATTTCATTTCGTGCCCCTAGGGAAGTGCACATTGACCAAAATAAAGCCCACTGCGGTAAGGATGCAATTATTTCATCTCCGATTCCCGGTGAATGCCCCCATTCAAAGTGAAGGGAAGATATTAACGAGCCCGTCCGACAACCACTGGGATTGAAAATTGCATTGACCTTTAGTCCTACACTTATAGAAAAAGATAAGAAACAGTCGTTGCGCGTGGAAATTAAAGTCGAATTTGCATCAGGTTGCAAGCAATGTAGTTACATTGACAATTGGCCAACTTTCCTTGACTAAGGTTAACATGGGCTCACAATCCAACACGAAATTTCTCATTATCTCCCACACTGCTTGACTAGCAACGCAGCTTTTCTCTTAGTCAACTTCGTGAATGAAAGACGTGTCGCACAGTGCGGAAAAAGTAAATACATTTGCGCGGTGTTAGTTAGGAGTTGTTGCATCACCTGCCTCAAGAAGTCGACGCCTACTGGCCAGGACATATACAATCCATTGAGTGTTTGACGTTCAGTCAAATGTCCGCTGTGATTAAGTTTCGGCGATATAAATTAACATCATATCTCCGTTGATAAACTCGGTTTCGATCAAAAAGTGGAATCGACTCCGCCGTTTGAAACATGTTGGCTTTGAGTGCAACAACCGAGGCAGCAACACTTGCGCAGTTAAATCAGTCCATACAGATTTGTTCTCCTCCAAAGCATGACTTAGTGATGAAGATCCTGAAGTACTTCATCTTCAGCGCAATATTTGCTGTCAGCTTGAGCGGGAATTGCTTTGTGTGCTGGGTAGTTTGGAAAAGACTTCGTATGCGGACAGTGATGAATTATTATTTGGTCAATTTAGCCGCAGCCGATCTGGCGTTCACGCTAATATGTATACCATTTGATCTCCCCGTTCAAGAGAAGTCTTGCATCTGGCCATACTTCGGCGCGCTGTGTAAGGTACTCTTTCCATTACAAACACTATGCTCTAGCGCGTCCGTTTTCACGCTGACGGCGATCGGTTACAGTCGGTATCGCGCTATAGTACATCCTTTGAAGTCTCAAATCGGTCTCGCTGACGCAAAAAAAAACATATACTTCATATGGCTCGCTTCACTGATCTTGGTATTGCCTTACGCGATGGTCCTCGGAGTTAACCCTTTAACCGGTCATTGCGAAGAGGGTTGGCCGGAACCTAAGCAAACGTACAGTCGTATCTACTCGTTTATAATATTCTTTGCAGATTACGCAGTACCTGTGCCTGTTGTCTTTGTTTCGTACCTCAAAATCTGTCACGAACTACGCTTAAACGGAGATCAAGTACCAGTAGCACAGCCAGAGCAGATAAGAGACTCAGAAAAAGTGCTGAAAATGTCGATTGTCATAACCATAGTTTTTGCCGTATGTGCGTTACCAAACCATATTGCTTGGTTAGCACTCGATTTCTTCACCGATAACAAATGTGCACAATGCAGTACGTGGGTTATCGTGGCTAACATTTTTGTGTTTGCTAACAGTGCTGCAGATCCCATCGTGTACACAGTTTTTAACAGGAGATATCGAGACGAGTTCAGAAGTCTTTTTCACTGCCAAAAGCTGGAAATAGTAGAAAACGATGAAAATGCAGTAAACCTAGACGACAGAGCTGTATAAATAACCATTCATAGCTGGAGGAACACGCCTCCCAGCCCAACTTTTATTGAAACCAAGAAAAAAATCTGTAACAGAATACACTAATTTTTTTATGCGCGCAAAAATGGGTGCTTGTAACAATGATGGACGTAACTAAAAGTAAATTTATAAGAGGCTCTCGCTAACGAGTTTACAGTTTCGACAGCGCCTTCTTTTGACCCGTTTTCATAAACTTGACCACACTATAGCTAAAGATGATCTCTCTCGAGTATAACTTGAAATAATTCAGAATGAGAGAAAATCATCTTCAAAGCACAATAACAGCGTTTAAAGTGCAAAATGAGCCAAGAGAAAACAATTAACAACAAAGGCAAACCATATGCCGATTGTTCAATATTCAATTTTGAAGCCCCTGTAAATACCGTTCGCATAAACAATAACACTAATAATTAAAGTTCTCTTTTTAAAAGTTCCTGTGTATTCACTGTTTATTTTGTCTATTTATTTTTTGTATGTTAATTCATGTGTCAAACACAGATACGTTCAAACAAAGGCACATATCTTGCACCCAATTTACAACTGTAAGATAATTGCAGAATTCTGATCGATTGTAGTCTCATCTAGAAGTCATTTCATTTCACTAACGCAACGCCTAAAAATAATTTTGTAAATTTTGTGGAATATGAAAGGAGGTGCGTCAACATAACAAACGACAAAGCATCTGTACTCTGGTAAAAGAAACTGCACACGAAAATACATAAGCATGAATAAATAAGGGAAAATACGGAAAATAAGAGCCAAGAGTTAGTTTGTTTTTCAAAACGATATATTTTCGTAGACATAACATCTCAAGAGTGGCGGTCATGTTATTCAGTTATGGGTAAATTACCACGGTATTACATTTAATCTGCACGCAGTGGAACACCACGCCAAAATTTTTGATTCAAAGCAGTCACATTTGTCATAAAAAGAAAAATAATCAACCTTTTGGCATCTCTAATAAAACAAAAACAAAAAACAAAGGAAGAGAGACTAAAATGTTCACTTGCGTTGTTTGGAATATGAATATAATTTTTAGCAGCAGAAACAAAGCAAGATAAATCTGGAAAAAAAATTATTCTTTCGAGGTTTCAAGGAAATATTAAACAAGAAAGGCTTTCATTGATCAAATCTGTAATAAAGCCGGAAGCGAAATGATGGGTTTTATCATCTTTGTCTCGATAAATTTAATCAACGGACTGAAAGTGAAAAATTTAGATCTTAAAAACGATAGAACACAGTCACTTTCTTGAACTGATATGAAATTAAAGTGGAACAAGAATGCACATACTTGAGCTTCTTCGAGAAAAAAAAACTTGATTGTCATGCAAAAAAGCGCGTTCTTGTTATAAAAATTATTTTTTTCATTTGGGGGTGTACCTCTTTTTAATATGATAATGAAGGGGGATAACGTTCGATGTGATTTTCATACAATTTGAAGAAAAAAAAATTACTTTTTTAATCCCGAAACACAAAGGCACAGGGTAAAGCTGGCTACACTAATGAATTTAACCCTCAAGTTTCCGAAGGTAAAAACACTTATGTGACCATTAAAAGCTTTAAACAAGGACTGTCATCTCCTTACATGGCATGTCTACGTTTGTTATAATTAATCTTAACTCGAAACGGATTAAAAGTCGCTAACTAACCATTACTTGATGTGGATGGTAATAAAGCTAGTAAAAGCAAACGTGTTACCACCTTTACAAAACCGAAAAAAGTCACTTTCGATTTGTAAAGACATTTTTTTTTTCTTTTTCACACTTGTAAATAGGCCGTCCCTCTGTTCTGATATACTCTAGTTGGACAGTTTTCCCAGAAGTGTAAAATGAGGGTTTGCGAGAACCATCCGAATAGCGAATTCCGTCAAAAACTCAAACAAAGATATCGCGAAGAAGGGAAGTTATTGACTTAGTTCGCCACAAAGAATTTGTCTTGTTTTATTTCGATTCTTACGACTCAAAAGAAACGGTTCAGATTAAAGAAGACAACCGAAGGGTCGATCAAGACAACGAGATATCAATACAAATTATACCAAAGACAAAATAAATTCAGCGAAATTAAATTGAACTGCCAAGTTGCGGTGAACATCAAACGTTTTCTTAACAAAAGCGATAAAACACTTTTAACAAGAAATGATGGAAGAGTTGTGCCTGCCAATTGATTGGTCGAGAGGACTCGTGATCAGCTAAATATCTCGAGAGCTTAATGACTCTTCGAATCAAATATCGAAATCTTAACTGATCTTGCACAAAATAAATTGCTTTGACATTGTCTTGTCGAGTCCATATTTGCCTTAAGGCTACTTAAAGTATTGTTAAGATCAAGACAGGAGTATTCAAACAAAGTCATAATGTGCGTTTTAGGTTGTTGCCTTTGACAGCTCGTGAGATTAATCTTGAGGCTTTTTCGATTCGGTGCCTTTTAATATTTTTTTGTTCACCAACTTGAAAATCGCTTGTCTTTTTTAATATAAAACCCGTTCGAAAACATCTACGTTGTTTCAAAAAGCGAGCTATCCGGACTTTTTTACCTAAACGGAAAAAAAGCTTTAAGTGTAAGAAACAAACAGAAAGAGAAATCAGCCGCTTTGAAATTAGGAATACTTGGGTGCTGCCACTTAACATCACTTATCCGAAGGATCACGGGAAATTGTTGCCATCCTCGTTTCCAGGGTCCTCTTGCTTACTCGACTCTGGAACGAGGTTAACTATTGTTGCACAAAATAGCATGTTCCAAACTGTCACCTGGTGGGAAGCTCTAACATCAACATCGCTTGTTCTTGTTTATATTCGGCTCGTTTCCCATTTGGTCTGTTACAGCATCTAGCACCACATTGCACCAGCCGTAAATCAAAGTACCCTAAGTTGTTCCGGCCCTTCTCTCCTCCGGAAGAACCCAGTCCCCCTCCAACCAGTATAGACTGTTCACTGTTCACCCCATCTTCAAGAAAACAATCCTCATAGTAAATAAATCGGCCAGTGACCATTCCAGTTACTCTGGATAAAGTTTTTGAGAAGTGTCTTGCACACCAACTCTCTGATTATTTTAGATTGACGTTGTCATAGTTTCTGCCTGTATATAGACGGGATTACAACTGTAAGGCGGTGCTTCTACGTTTGATTGATGACTGGAGGAATGCTGTTAACAATAACACGGGTTTATTACAAATCAACTTAACGACCTGTTCCCAGTTGGCTTGTTAGCTCAATTGATAGAGCGCTGCACTTGTATCGCGGAGGTCAGTGGTTCGAATCCCGTATAGGCCTGATTTTTTTTTCTTTTTTTTTTTTTCTTCAGGTCTGATTTTCGCTATTGCATAAATAGCGCTCTCTACTGCGAGGATCGTGCATCATACGTAATAAATGCCTTGTTGGTGCAGTTTCTATGGATCTGAGTAACCCTTTTGATATGATATCGTACGACCTCCTCCTTGCTCACCTGGCCTAACCCTTCATACATACATACATACATACATAACTTTATTTGATAACGCAGGTTAAAATTTGCGCAACTTTACAGCTGATGTGGACCTGCCTAAACTAAATAGTCTATTATTACAAAACACAGACATGGTAGAATTTATAAGTTGAATAAATTAAGTAAACCATAAAATTTTAGTAATAGTGAAAGTTTGGTTTCATGTTTTGTATAACATTACTTCCCTTTTCAAAATTAATATTCATGACAGTTTGCTTGGATTGTTTTAAGTTATATTTAAAAATAGATAAATTTGGAGAATCTTTAAAATTATCGGGAAGTGCATTCCATGCTACTGCAGATCTATGAGCAAAGGACCTACGACCCAGTTCGGTTTTGGGCCTATTAAGTACAACATTCAGGGATTTCCTTAGGTTATAGCTGTTGGAGTTCTTGGTCACCATACTTTACTACACTTTTATCGGCATATTAGCTTTGTACTGCTGGGGACCTAGTCAGCGGCCTCATAAACCTGAGTTGAAATAAAGTTGCTTACTTACTTACTTACTTACTTACTTACTTACTTACTTCACCAATCCTTTTTCAAATTTCTGTATATAAAATAGTTGTCTATAATTGTACAGATGCATTATACCATAAACGATTGCAAGTCCAGCATATAGGCCGTTATTCTATATCAGTTTTATTTCGTTTCCCATACCAAAGCTTAAAGTGGTCGACAATTTTCAAATGTATTTACAATTAATTTAGGATTCATTGAAACTCATTTACAATTTATTTGCCATACATCTTTTTTCAGGACAGAAAAATAAGCTTAAGCCATTTTTCATTGATAGATCTTGTGTTACCTGATACAAGAGCTAAATTTTCTACGGGTTCTGAGGGATGTATATGTAAGTCTGCAGTTCATTACTACAAACACGATTCCTCCTATGATATACACTGCAATTACTGTGCTCTCCTGAGGAATAAAACATTTTGACAGGGCGAACTTTTCCGGGGAAACGATGCTCTAAAAAGAAAACATACACCAAAAGTTAACTCTTTAAAGCTTCTGTTGAAAGAACAAAATGGTGGCAAGAGAAGATTCAAAGATTGGCGATAGAGCGGCAAAGAGAATGAAAAGAATAGGCACCTTCTCCACTATCATTGATGCGTCGCCACTGAAGAATTACTTTTATTCGTCGCCTAGCAACAGATCGTTAGCTTCGTCTGCTTAAGTTAAGTACCAGAAAAATCCCATACATTACAGTACTCTTAATACAGTAACCAATAAGAAGCGTTGAATGCTTCTCCCGAGAAGCTTCTGAGAAGTGCGGGAAAACGAGGGTGGAGAAGTTGTGGTTGGTTCCAGTTCCACATCTTACTAGTTGAGAGGGTGAGCCTCGTTACCAACAACAATCACAACCGCGTTTTGAAGTAGAACCAACACAATCCTGGATCCTTACAACACTTAATTGAAAGCTGTGCTATCTAATAAACTTACCAAAACAAAACTAGGATTATTTCTATTCCTCCAGCTGAACGACGGGATCGTCATTTCAGGGGTACCATCATCGTGTACCAGATAGCAGCCATGATGGGTGTGGCCACTCAGTACCAGTCGTGGTCGAAGTAACGACAGAAGTTTTTGTGACATCTCCTTGGAAACCACTTCCCATTTCTCTCTGTTTGTGGAGCGCCTTTCTTCATCAGGAGGAGCATCAACACCTGTACATCTCTTTTCATTTCGACGATACAACGGAAAATGCTGCAAAAGATATATTTTTATGGCAATGACATCTGTGTCCAATCGATCATCACAGGTGAACTGTGATTACCATTTCACCCCTAAGAGTGATTGGTATCTAATTTCTCCATACAGCATCACTGCTAAATCAAACAATTAAATCATGAGAATAAAGAAAATGATCAACAATGACAGAAGCTCTTAATTTCGTTGGAAAAATTCTCCTGGTCGGCACCATAGGAAATGTTTAAAGCATAGTGTGAAGAATTCACAAACTGACTTTAGCGACTAACAATTTCAGAAAGTAAGGCTTAAAGAACGGATTAAGTCATGGAGGAAGCAAATTTCTGTGAGTCATTTGTTCTCTGCAAAGGAATTTCAACCCAAATATGGAAAATGAATAATACTTGGTGAGTAAATGATGCATGTCAAAGTTATGCACACACAAATTTCAACTGAAAAAATTACATTAAAGAAGTCTTAAAAAACAATTCAGGTTTTGAAGAGGATTGACCTTATGCTACTAAAACATGAGTCAGCGCCCCTAAAAAGAGAGATGCCACATGTTGCAAAGGCAAAGTGTGTAGCTTCCTTAATCACCATAGACAGGGGTTTTTGACTTTGAAATAACTGGTATATAGTTCTCCAACTCACTGTGAAAGTTTGCTAGAATACTTTCAAGGGAAGTGCACCAGAGGCAGGCGTGTTAGTTTTACTCAAGAAAACCACAGCTTGTACTCTGTGATAATAGTATATGGCATGTATTTTGTTGTTATCATGGATAGATGCCCATGTTAGTCATTTCTTTACCAAAGGCATGGATCTCCCCAATTAAACTACATGTACAAACACGATGCTTTATGAAATGATGAGAACAATTTGAGATACAAAAAGCCTCTAATACCTGTATGAGTATTGGAGCAGGAGAATTCTTAGGTAGTTCACATGTTGTCTTCTCCTTCTTGAGCACATCTTCATAGACCTTTTTCCCAAACCTCTGTCTGTGACAGTTCAGTTTGTCTGCCACACTGGTCAGTTGAGTCATGGCCTCAGAGCACATAGAACATTCATCACCTTGCAGTGCTATGGAGTTTATGAGGACAAACCTACAGTAAAAGTGAAAAATAAAAAGACCAAATTGAGATACTAAACAGCACCAAAAAATAGTTATTACCTTCTGTAAGGAATGTCATATTTGGAAAATTCCCATTGAAAGGGGGGGGGGGGTGTCCAAAGTCAAATCTTTCAAAGCAAACAAACAGGGGTTTAATCAACAGTTACTTTTTCCACATGTGGCTGTGGATGACATTAGAGGCAGTTATGCCTGGAAAGGAGCTGTAAGATGAGAGAGAGCTTGCTTGCAGGCTAAACAGACAACAGAGAGAGGTCTTACAGACAGCAGTAGACTACTGGTAACCAGCTTTTCATGAAACCCCTGAAACAAGTACTAAGGAAAAGTAGATTTCTAATGGAGTGTTAACCCTTTACACCCTATGCATATTCTCCATACTGTTCTCTATACAATTCCTAAGGACCTTTTCAGCCTAACATCAGATGCATATTCTCCATACTGTTCTCTGCACATTTCTTAAGATTCTGATAACGAGAATTTGTTTAAAAATCAAGGCTTCTTTAGTTGGTGATCATTTCCTTTATTCTCACAGCCTTAATGTGTGATTCAGGGGTACTGTTGTAGGGAGAAATTAGATGTTAGTCACTCTTGAAGGCTAAAGGGGGGGGAAGGGCTACAATTTTGAAGTTTGCTCAGGATTCTGACAAAAACAAAGATAAAAAAAACACACACACACAACAATAATACTTACAAGTTTCCTCTTATATTCAGTAGTTTTACAGAGGGAGAGTCAAACTCTGCTGAAAATCGTTGAAAAAGATGCTGATCACCAGAAGCCCTTTAAAACAAAATCAAAAAGAGATGTCAAGCAAGAACCTAAACTAACAGGCTCGTTAACCTTTCAACTGCAATGAGCAACTAAGATCATAGAATTTTCCTTACAATACCAAGCAGACAGAATAGATGAGAATAAAGAAAAATGTATATAAGGCCATTATAAGTTGGTCCATGACCAAATTCTCCATTTAATAGACAGTAAGGAGAATTATTATACAGATATCACACAATATTTGTACTCCAGAAATATTCACGAAATTCTCCGGCACTGAAATAACAATTTGGCCTGTTGGATAATACATCTCTTATTAAATGTTTTGTTGGGTAGTATTGCTGAGTATTTTAATGTACTGTTTGTATTTTGACTTGCCCTACGGGCTCGTCAAAATACGGCACAACTCGTAAAAACACTCAGCAATACTACACAACAAAATGTCTAAAAAGATATATTTACTGCCCTCACTGCTAGTAATTAGATCTTGGGAGTGAAAGGGTTAATTCTACCTTTATCTTTTAACATCTAGCTGCATTTCTAAGTTACAAATTAAGAAAGTTGCATAAATTGTTATTGTCAACTGAACATTTCTCTTATTCCCTGTCATTCATCAGATGAAAGGCTGTTATTCACAGGATCCTAAGGTCTTTAACAAGAGTAATTGCTGGCAGCAAAGACAGGCTCCCCAGAAAATGTTGCAAACCAGAGCCCCTTTAATTTATACCAAATCTTGCACATTTTTAGTACTTCTTTGGACTGCCAACAATTTACAGTTGGGAGTTCTTGATTCAGTTTTGCATCTATTAGGCTTCTGATTCTCAACTAAACTAAACATTTTCACTCCCAGATCTCATTGGTAATTCTCGTAACTGTCTGCCATTCAATTTTTATCAATGTTACTTTGTATAATTTGGTATTGGATCAAAAGGACGTAAAGACAGCAGAGTGACAATAACTCTCAAAAAAGAAACAACAACTTTGAGTTTAAATTTACAAGACATGTTTCGACATTCTCATGTCATCTTCAGTTGCAAATGAGCATTTAACTGTTGTACATTTGAATTTAAATTAGGGTACGTTACAAACTACGTGTCAGTGCTTACGTTACATTTGAATGTTAAAAACGCGAAAGATGTAAATAGCGCGCGCTTGACTAGATCAAAAAATAAATAGATAAATAAAAAATAAATAAATAAATGTAATAATAATAAAAATAAATTAAAAGACCAAGGAACAACATCATTAAAAGGAAAGAGACAATTCTAGATGTTTCAATTGCTGATTAAGGATAGGTTTTTCCCACTTAATATGCAATGCCTCTTTGATCTTAATTTGGTATTTTGAAGGGGCAGAATCTAAGATCGTGAAACATTCAGTATCACAAGAGTCAAGACAGGCCCTTGATGATTGCAGGTGCTTGTAAATATGCGAAGTTTTGTCCGACAAGAGGTGCTCACGAACTCGTGTACAAATGTGGCGAGTGGTCTCACCAATATAACTGACATTACAGCCAGCACATGAAAATTTATATATGACACGCGAACGTAGACCTAGCGGTACTGAATCTTTCACACTGAACATGTTTCTGAGTTTAAACGTACTGAAGACTAACTTAA